CGTCAATCACATGCATTCCTCTAGGATTTTCAAAAGGTTGAGAGGGAAGCTTGCCCTTGTCCTTTTGAAGCAATTGATTCACCGAGTTAGCTATTTGGCCCACTTAATTTTCGAGATTAGCTATGGATTGAGTATGAGAGTGAACCATTTGGAGAGTAGGCTGCAAGGATGTCAAGAGTTGCTTGTTGGCATCCATTATTTGCTTATTTAATGATTCCATCATTTGCTTGTTTGCAGCTACTATCTCGTCAGTTGGACACACAGGAGGTTGATTGGAGACATTTGGATTGTAAGGAGGACGGTAGCTTGAAGAGGCTTGGAAAGGTCTACCTTGATATTGAGAAGAGGGCTGATTTTGCCGCCCTTGGTTTTGGAATTGGGAATTCTGTGGGGCTTGTTGTCGCCACGAGAAATTCGGATGATCTCGCCAACCCGGATTGTAGGTGCTGGAATGTGGATTGTTCCCGGGCCGCGAGAACATGGCATTAGCTTGCTCTTGGTTGGGATTGGGAAATTGCTCCGGTGTGGGGCAATCTTCCGAAAGATGGAATGGACTAGTGCATGAAGCACAAACCGAACTTGCCGAATTTTGAGACAATGAAGGAGGAAGATGTGGTGCCATCAATTGGTAGAATTTATAAGCGATGGCATCCACTTGAGATGATTCCTCCCTTATTGACTTTGGTTGACAAGGGTTGGTGTTGTTTGGAGTGGTTGCGGTCGGAGCCCTACGAGAATTGTGTTGAAGTGAATTTTCACTCAAATTCTCGAGTAAGGTCTAAGCCTCATCCGCATTCTTGGACATGAACATCCCACCACAAGAAGAATCAACCATGAATCTATGGGTTTCGGTCAAGCCAGCATAGAAAGCTTGCACTAATTGCCATTTTGGGATCAAATGATGAGGGCATTTTCGAAGAAGATCTTGTAGCCTTTCCCAAGTCTCGTGGAGTTGTTCTTCATCAACTTGAGAAAAACTTAGAATGGAACGCCTCATCTGGTTGGTTTTACTCACCGGATAATACTTCTTAAGAAATTCTTGTTGCAATTGAGCCCAAGAAGTAATAGAGTTGGGAGCGAGGGAGTTCAACCAATATTTTGCCCTATCCTTTAGGGAGAATGGGAAAAGATGGAGATGAAGTGCATTGTCCGGAAAACCTCTCAACCGGATGGTCGAACAGATTTTAAGGAACTCATCAAGATGCTTATATGGATCTTCATTATCAAAGCCATGAAATGATGGAAGCATTTGAATGGTACTAGACTTGATCTCATATTGAGCTGCATCGATGTTTGGCATCACTATACAAGAAGGAGAAGCATAGGTGGTAGGAATGAAATGATCTCTAAGAGTCATTGGTTCTACATTAGGAATTTCAGCCCTTTCATTCCCCGGATTTCCTACGTTATCCCCCGGATTTCCTACGTTATCCCCCATTATATTGAATTTAGTTTCAAGATCCCTTGTAAGAGTGGGTTCCCTAAGGTTCCGTCTAAGAGTTCTTTCAAGTGAATTTATATCAATAGGCGAGTCAAGTGTGGGTAGAGAGAGTGACCTACGGCCAAACATCAACAACAAAGCATATATTCAACAACACAATTCATCATCAATACTCCACATATGATGTTCCCTTTCTCCTCAGTTATCAAGACAGAAAATAAATGGCCACGACAAGGACCGATGCTTGGAATTGAAAATACACAATTGAAGTAGCCTAGACAAGGGCTTGCAATTTATCTACTTCTAAGCTTAACACATGCACGATATTCACAATTTGAAACTAGAAGTCACGAGACTTACCTGGGGTCCTCTAGACTTACAATTTGCTAGCATTCCCCACGGCGAGCTTCGAGTTCCTAGAATCTCACTTACAACACAAAAATGGTTAAACTACACAAGAAATATTCACAAAACACAGTATTCACAATCAAACTAAATTTAACCCTAGAAACTTCGGTTGCTAAACCGTTTGCAGTCCCCGGTAACAGCGCCAAAAATTGATCGGTTGGTCAATTAAACATCAACCTTCGCAATAGCACGAATCATTGTAAAATAGGGCTATTGGTCGGGTAAGTCGAACCACTGGGACTGCGCTAATCTATGGCAACCTAAGTGTCTAGAGTCATTTTAGAGTGATAAGGGGTGTTCATAGAGGGTTTGTTTTGTTTGTCACTAAACTACAAATTCATAATGCATAAAACAATAAATTGAAGGAGATTAAAAGAGAAGATTTAGAGAAGGAAGTCTAGGGAAGTGAATCCACTCCAAACCTTTACACAAGCTAATTATATGATTGATTTGGGGAATTAATGTAGAAATGACCTTGATGAATAGCAATTCATGACTACTATATCATCTTCAAGAAATTCAATTAATTAAAATGTAAGAACAACCTATCAAAGCTCCACATGCTTAAATTACCTAAACTATGGTGCAATCCTCAACATGCTCACTAAGCTAGAGATTGTCAAACAAGTAACCAATTGATGAGAGCACATGATAACAAGTCACAAGGTTAATCCATCAAAAGAAATTCTTAAGCAATGAATTAACAAGCTACTCAAAATCATGCCATTAAAACCATTCCATAGTCTTAGCTCCATTGTCACTATGAAACTACAAGCCATACAACTATGAGATTAAATCATCTAAGACAAGAGTATTTAATGCAACATGATCTTTAGAACATTAAAACATCCATTACATTATGTAATATGCTCTAGATTATGGAACTAGTCAAATACACATTTCATTCCCCAAAATAAATCAAAAACTTGACATGCTTACAAGGAGGAGTTTCATCACCTCCCTAGATGGAGGTTTAGTTATCCATGGATACAAAAATGGAAGAGGAAGAAGAAGACTCCATCTCCATTTTCGAGCTCCTACTGTAGTACTCAAGAACACCTTCCTCCTTGCTCTCTTCTCTCCCCTCTATCTTGCTAAAGATCAAAGATAAATAATGTGTGGCCCTTGGGTAGCTTTTTATTCTCCAACAACACCCTCTCTCCCCTCCAAGGAACACCTCCAACCACTTCATAAAGAAGGAAGATGGCATTGAGGAAACCAATGTGCAAGTGGCTGAAATTGAGCCATTTCCGAGTGCAATCTGCCTGATTTTCGAGCACTCGCAAAGTGATCTCGAGCACTCTAACTTAGTGCAATGTGCAACATGCTCCTCTTGCTCAGCGCTGACCTATTTTGGGAAAACTACTATAACTTTGTTCCCCGAACTCCGAATGATGATCTGTTTGAAGATTTGGAGAGCTGATTCAGTGCTTTAAAAACTTCATGTTTTGATGAAGACCCAATTCTCCAGTTTGGTTGGTCGAAAATGGGGAGAAAGGCAGTACTTCAGTGCTGCCAGGCAGTTCTGCGCACCTCTGTTACGAAGATCATAACTCTCTGCTCCGAACTCCGAATGATAAACCACTTGAAGATTTGGAAAGCTGATTCAGAGATCTAAATCTTTCATGTTATGATGGAAGTCTAGTTCTTGAGTTTGCTAGGTTGAAAATGGCGACAAAAGTCAGGATCACTGCTGCCAGAAATTCAGAAATGGCATCATTTTTGTTCAAAATTCCACAAGGCATCATTTTTGCTTCCTTTTTGCACTTTAACCTGAAAATGCATAAAAACATGCACATGGAGTTAATCTACATAAAATAATTAATAACTGGACTTTGTTAATGTAATTTAGGGCGCTTGAATATACAATATTCGGCGCTTATCACGAGGTTCTTGGTAATATCCAAAAGTTCAAGGTCTTGTTGGTGTAGTATCTAGTACCTATAGTTTTGGTAATGATTATCCTTGCCATTCCTCATATGCTATTAAGTTAAATCACCCCCTTTTAATCTATCCATGCTAACCGTGATGCATTAAATGGCTAATGCAGTAAGCTATTTAACAACAATGGTATCACTAAATATGGTCAAGATGCGATGTATTCGACTTGGTTGTAAGTTTTTCTGTCACTAACCCACAACACGTGCTCAATGTTCCTTTAGTCGACATAGTGAGAGATTTGGGTATATTTTAACTTCTTATCTACCACTCCAAGATCCTTCTAAATGTCTCATGTTGTTATTCTAAGTATTCGAAGAGTCTTACCTGTCCATGCCTCTAGAGTTGTTTTCCCAATGTTTCGGGTGGCCTAATGATGTCAGGATTTTAGACTCGAGGCTTACTAGCTCAAGCTTTGTGTGATCCGATGGTGTCAGGGTAGTGGACTAGAGGATTGTTTCCTCAAGATTTGGGTGACCAAGTAGTGTTAGAGTTTTAAATTTTAGGGATAATTTCACTGACACCTCCTGAAGTTTGGCCATATATCAATCAGAAATATCTTTCGAAAATAACTATCACTCACGTTACAAACGTTTGCTCCGTTTTTCACTCACACCCCAAAAGTTAGTTGAAAGGTGTGTCAGATCACTTTTTACATGCAAAAAGACATTCTTACCCTTTGACTTTGGTTTGACCCATTTAAGTATTTCTTTAATGATTGAAATGACATATTTACCCTCATTCAGATGACATATTTACCCATTTATACCCTCACATATTATTTCAATTCACCCATGTGTCTACGTCCTATTGGTTGCTGACCATATTTTTTTTATTTCACCTTATTATTTGGGGCCAAACAGTGACACGTCACTCCAACGACGACTAGAGAGAACGACGATGATCGGCAGCCACAGTTGATGATGACGACTACGACTGATGAAGATTTCGGCGACGATGAAGGCACGTGGCTCTGCCAACAAAAATCTGAGGATGGTGTGGGGCTTCCGTTATCGACGACGACGACGTGGTAGCGAGAATCCGACGAGAATAACTGCCAGAAAATTGCATGATGCCGGTTAGAAACTGTTCTGTTTACGACCTGTTTTCAATGTCATACATCTCGCTAGAATGATGTGGGTCTGTTTTGTAATGCCGAAACTGTTGGTGATGTAGTTATATGTTGTTAGCCGGAAATAATAGAGGTTTCGAATAGGTTTTTGTTGGATTTGTATGATGTGTCGTTATGGTGCTCTCTAGTGTCGGTAGCCTCAGAGTCTCATCATCTTGCTCATGATTTGGATAGATGTATGAAGGGTTAACAATAGTTGTTCAGTTTCTTGATGTCTGTGTTTTTTATGTGTGTTTTTTGTGTTATTGAATTTGATTTTTTGTGCAATAGATTGGGTAGTTTTGACACGAAGAATTGGAGGTTTTCATATAAGGCTCTGATTGTGCTTGAATACTTGTTGACCCATGGACCAAAGAGTGTTGCAGAGGAGTTTCAGAGTGATAAAGATGTTATCTGCAAGATGGGAAGCTTTCACTATATTGATGAGAAAGGGTCTTTTTTTCATTTTCCTCATTTGGGGTTTTTTTTATTTTTATTTATTTTATTTTATTTTTATTTGTTATTATAGTACTATGATTGTTATCATGAGCTTCTAAAATTTAATTTGCAGATTCAATTGGGGACTTAATGTTAGAAAGAAATCCGAGAGAATACTGAAGCTGCTTGAAAAAGGGTCTGTTCTCAAACAAGAAAGGGATAAAGCTAGGAAGCTAAGTAGAGGGATTGAAGGGTTTGGGAGCTACTCGGAGAGGTCTTTTTCAGCACAGAGAATTCTTACAGAATCAGAGAGACTTGGATATGGAAGGTGTCATTCTGAATCTACTAGTCAAAGAACTCAGGATGATTGGTTTTCATTCTCGAAGGACGAAGGTCCATCCGAATCAGAGCATGAAATATCTCAGCAGACTCATCTGGAAAATGTGAATTTGGTGTCCATCAAGAAAATGGAGAACTCCAACTCTATGGGTGGTTTTAGTGATGATGAGGTACTTGAAAAGTTTGGTGCTAGAATAAGTTCCAACAAACCGTGGCCATAGGAGAACACGACCCGCCGTCCCACACAGACAATCCACACACGACGGCCACGCAAACTGCTGGCGAGAAGACCGTTACCCGCGACGCACGACAGTGACCCACAGTCGACGGCGCAGCAACCTATGGTTCGGCGTCTTCCTACCCCCCAAACCACCACCGTCCAGCGACCCTCCCGCACTCTCTGGTTCGGCCATCGCTGCAGTGCCCAACCGATCTCCCTTCGCCGTCATCGTCGCAATTACACATACACACACACACACACACATACACACACACACACACACACATATATATATATATATATATGGGGTATAATGGTCATTTAAGTAGCTGGTGTATTTTGTATTAAATGTGATTAAAAAATTAAGGGCAAACATGTCTTTTCACACGTTTTTAACGGAGAGGGTAACGGAATAGTGAAATTGGACCTAATTGATAGTTATTTTCGAAAGATATTTTAAACTGATATTTGGCCAAACTACTAGGGTGTCAGTGAAATTATCCCTAAATTTTAAGATCATACTTTTGAGATTTGGGTGACTTGACGTTATCAGAATTTTGAAATCAAGAATTACTTCCTCGAGGTTTGGGGTGACATGATGGTATCAAGATGTTTGGCTCAAATTTTTATTTTTGTTTTATTTTTTATTTTTTTAAAGATTAAGCAATTACACACACTCCATACATTCATTGAGACTCGAACACCCGACCTTCTCTTTGAAGAGATGGGCAATTGGGCTTTGCCCATTTGATTTTGCCTTAAAACTTGTTTCTCTGAATTTTAGGTGACTTAAAAGAGTTCGATTTGGCAACCTTAGCAATTTGCCTTACTTTTCTTCTTGAGTTTTTGCCATGTGAGAATTTTGGCCAAGTTGGTAGCATGTGCTTGACACTGCAACCATTATATCCCTCTTTAATTTTTTGTTTTGTTATTTTAGATGGAAAATGATGATAATTCTGACTCGATCGTCAAAATAAGTAATCCTAGTAAATTTTTTCAATTTTTTTTTTTAATGCATTTTATATGGACAATACTTACCTGTTTATTGGTGAGTATGTATTCTCTTCTGATCGTTGATATGGTCAAATCACAAATGCACTAATCGTCTTTATTAACAAAAAAATAATAAATAAGAAAAACATAGAAGGTGGGTGAATGCACAATATTATTTACTCCATGTTATAAAAGAGTTGTTTTTCGTATTTGTAACTTTCATAATTTTTTATATATTAAAAAGGATGTGTACATTTATAATTAGATTATATCAAGAGTTAAAAGGAAGCACTGACTCACCCCTTAACGTAAGTAAGTATTATTCATTTTATATTCCAAACCGATCTCATTTTTTCTATGATCAATCAAATAAAAATTGGAATTGCAAAAGTCGTATAAAGCATGCAGGTTAAAATTGACATGTTAGATTGCAACAGAGAATCATAAAATCATGCCACTCCTAAGTTGCATTCATACAATGCGCAGCTTTTTATGGGGAGCTGACTATATGATTCCATAACCCAATACATGTAGCAACAAAAGCAACTCTTCGCAACGAAGGAAAGCACCTATTAAATCACTAACTGGTCAAATGGTATATGGTTTTGTTTCCCCACTCTTTGCTTTTCCCTCAAAGCATAACTTTACTTGCTTCTTTCTAACCAAATAATTAATCAAAATCAGCTACAACAAAGAAAATTTTCACCTAAAAGAAAAGGCAGGATCACCTTTATGAGTCATATATCCATCCACAATTCAAAGTGAATAATTTTAGTAGTTATTTAAATCCAAATTCCACTACTAAATGTGTGCTAGAGATATATGAAAATAAAAATCGGTTAAAGGAACACTTCTTTCACTTTGAATTTTTTTTTAGTAAAATGGATGGTAAGGATCACGATTTGTGTTATGTTGTGGCCTAATAGTGTTCTGTTGTGTAAGTCATCATGAATATGAATCGTTTAATAATTGTGTCAAATTTCTTTATTAAAATATATAACACTTTGGATCAAACAACGGATAATACGACTCGATTCATTTAATAATTTATTTAATCTATTTATGTTAAATGGGTTGCTCGTTTATTAATTTAAGTTAAAAAAATGTAAATATAATGAAAAAAATGATACAATGGGTACTAAATTTATTAAAATGAAGATAATTAGGATAATATAATTACACACAAAAAAAAGAAAAAAGAGGGCAAATACAATATTCATACCTGAGTTATATTAAAATAATAAAATTGTCTATAATAATTGAGTTAAAACATGTTACATGTTAATTGGATTACACTGACTTGATTAATTAAACAAGTTTAGTCCTAAACACAAATACGATATAATTAATTAAAAAAATTAACATAATCATAATACGAATATGCCTAAGGTTATGTGATGGTGTTGAATATGCCTAAGCTAACTTTTCACAATGAATATTTAATTCTTTTTTCACTTTTGGGAAAACTCGATTAGACACTTAGATAAAATAATCGTGTCGGAGGATCATATTTTACAATGCGTATTTTCTTGCATTGATAAAGTGTTGTCTTTTGGAATTTGTACTTTGACCTATTGGCAAGGAACACTGTAACAATTCCAAAATTCAACTGCGAAAAAGAGATTCTCTTCAAAAAGACTTGCAGGATCCACGTCACTAACTTATTTGGTGGGGCCTACATAAGCTCGTTTTATCACATGTTCAAGTGAATCGAAATAAGATCTACAAGACTAGGATCTAATTGATTATTTTAGAGTATAAAGTATTTGAGCAATGTAATTGAATTTTAATGAATGAATTGAACAGTTGAAAGGGCAGTCTAGGAAATCAAATCAGATTTAGTTGGATTTCAATCTAACATCCCTTTTCTAGTTAAGTGGAATCTTGTAATGTTCTAAAATAAGTTATTTATGGTGAATATTTAGGGATAACAAAGTTCGACACAATTCGTTAATACGATACGAGTTAAATAGATTTTGGATTTATTATAAACAAGTTTGGTTAATCCTGTTGTATTTGAATTTAGTGGTTCAATCTATATAATTCGTTTATATCTGTTTAACTAAATATTGTTTAATCTGTTACCTATTTTGATCCGAATAGTAGGAATATTTGGGTCCGAATGAGAGAGAGGAGAGAGAATGAAAAAAAATGTATGAGAGGTTAGAGCCTATAAAATTGTATTGTCATAAATCTTTCTTGTTTGTTATGTTGATTTTTCAATGTTCTGAATATGTAGAATTTGATTTCCATTGGGACAGTCAAGGAAATTAATTAGTTTTTAATTACTGATTATGATCACTATTAATTATGGGATGTCCAGGCAAGAAAAATAAAAATAAAAATAAAACAATGGAATGCCCTAATAGAGTTCTGGTGTATCTTTTTATTGCAGCAGTACCTACAACATAATCTGGATATGTATAGTATTATCATAAATCTTTCTTGTGTTGATTCTGTTGATTTTTCTGTGTTCTAAATCTGTAGAATTTGATTTCCATTGCATCAAGGAATTTTATTAGATTTTAATTACTGATTATGACCACTATCAAACTATGGAATGTCCTAATAGAATTTTTGTGTTATCTTTTTATTGCAGCAGAATCTGGATATTGATTTTCTGAAGAATGATATCCAAGGGTTTCAGAAAATAGCTGACACAGCATGAATATGAAATTTATGACTTTCAGGTGATTAAAGTTGCGGATTGATTTTGTTCTTCTCTCGGTCTCTTCATTTCTTTAGTTAAACTTTCTATTTGGGTTTTGTAAAACATAACTATCTATTTATTTATTTATTTATTTTCAGTTAACCCGGATGTTCGGGATGCCACGAATCTTTAGGACCCTTTAACAATCAGACTAATTTTCGAATATCCGGAAGGACTCCTCACCCAGGCTGGGTAAGTCACTGCAGGGACAGCGGAGACAAACCACAAAGAACACCTAACGGGATTCGAACTCCAAATCTTGGACTTGCTAAGTTCCAAAGTTCAGTGAATAAACCGCTGGGCGAAGTTGATATAACTATCTAACTTTGTCTTTTAATTTACTCTCTTTTCGATTAGAGAGCTTATAATTAGTAATGTTTGGTTTTACTCAACCCTTTTTTATTTTTAGTATTTTATTATTTGATTATAATGTTTGGTTTTAAATTTTTAGTTATAAGTTAGATAGGTAAAACATGTTAAGTAGGTCTTTAAATCTATCGTGTTTTGTTGTGTGTTACATAATCTATTTATTAGATGGGGTGCATAAGTTGTGTCATGTCACTTGTTTAATAAACATGTCAAGATTGAGAATATCTGACACAATTAACTTATTTTGTGTAATACGACACAATAATGACACGTGAACACAAATTACATTACAAGAATAATGTTATAACTGATTGATTTATTATTATTTATTATTTTTGTTTTTATATTTTTTTTGACAATTTCAATCATTCCCAATAAAGGTTCATATTTATGATAAAGCACATCAATCTATAATAATAACTATTGAATATTTTATTCATATATTGTTTTAGAACAATTTACTTCCGAGCAATAAGGGTGACAATTCGTATTGGTGTGTCGTGTTCGTGTCGACACGATTACAACACGGACACGATTAAGGTTGACACGAACACGACACGATTATTAATCGTGTCTAAGACTCTTGACACGAACACGACACGATTATTATACGTGTAACACGACACAACAAGCATAACTTGTTTAATAAATAGGTCAAGATTTGACACGATACGAAAAGATACATTTAAGTCATTTTCGACACGAATATGACATATTTTGCTAAATGGGTCATTTTTTACACGAACACAACACGTTTATCTGACACATTTAGTTAATCGGGTTAATCGTGTCATAATCGTGTTTACAGGGTCAAACACGAACATGATACGTTTAGTTAGCGAATCAATCCGTGTCGACACGATTATGATACGGACACGATTAACTCAAACCCTAACTCGCTTATTTCGTATCGTTTTTGCGTATCGTGTCAAATATTACCACCCCTACCAAACAACCATCTCCTAGGAAATGACTAATAATTAGATTAAAAGTCTTCGAACCAATTAGGTTTACGATCTCCTAGGAAATGACACCGTGCAGTGAATTTCTTAATTCCGTCAATGTCCACCGCTTGAACATGTAGGCAAGATGTTGGAAAGTGAATCACCTCATCATTCCACATAAGAACATGACCACCGGCTATTGAACATGGAAGGTTTTGAGAATTAAGTATCTCCTTCATCGTGTATATATAATAGAAGCGTCATTATTACATCATATTAAAATCATATATGTAGACAAAAATTATTCACATCAACACATGCATAACACAATATTTTACATGAATAACCGAACTCTATAACTACATCAATGGAGAGAGATTTTACTATTATGTATCAAAGAATATAATAGACAACCAGATGTTAAAACTCTACTTGCTCCTACTCATCACACTCTTACGGCTACATCTTTGCACTCGTGAATTATATATATTCTCCATTCTCCTCACAAGCCCCTTATATACATCTTTTCTCTCTCTTTCTACCTCACTCAACCAGGCCAGTTCTATTTTAAAGTCTTCAAATCCAATTTTTTGTTGGGCAAGAATTTCCCTATTTGCTTACAAGAAGTTACTATATCAGTTTTCAGCTCTAAAATAGTAGCCTAATATGCCACAACTTCTTTCCTAAATCTTAAGCATTCCAAAACGACTTACAAAACCCAATTGAACTGCGTCCAAATAATTTAAACATGTTCCTTTTTCATTAACCCAAATTGAATTAGTTCCAAATAACTTGAACTTGTTCACTTCTGCCATAACGCCTACTCACACACTGAATTTTTTTTTAAATAACCCAACATTAATCCCATTTAAGTAGAGTCGGTCACATGAATTATCTCTCCATCTTACTATCACAAGCAATTTCGCCTATTATATTTACTATTTTTAAAGTCATTTTTAATAACATTTTCTTTTACCGCTCTGTCCGTCTCTTACCTTCTATCACAATTAATCTTCCTCACGTTTTCCATTTCACCTACCTTCTATATTCACACCTTTTATGTCAATTTAGTTTGTGAAAAAACCACTAGGTGCTTTAATTTAAGAGGAAATGATTCAACAAGTCTCAAGCCGCACTCGAAAAGATACCACTACTTCAAAGTAGTTTAAAGTGAGTCAAAGGAAATTGAACTAGCAAAGGAAATGAATCCATTTTGACACCAAAATTAAATGGAATTCACACAGATATGGAGTGAAAGATGGTTAAGAGAATAGAGGGGTTATAAATACACAGTAAAAAATCTATTCCTTCAATTCATCCATGGGATGGTGCTTGCTCACCCTATGAAGTAGGATTGGCAAAATACCATTTGTGTTGACAAGTTTTCGAGATTTACAGTTTCATTCTTTCTCATTTGTAGAAGCACTGTCACTATTCATGGACACTCACAAATGTTCACTAGAGTTGTGCGACTTTCGATTAAAGATTCAGGCGAAAAATTAAAACAGCATAAATGATTCTTATCTACTATTCACTGAGACATAAGAGTGGATCTTAATTCATGAAAATTGCTTTTTTTTTTTTTTTTTTTTTTCCTGCAATTAAAAAATTATACAAAAATCTATTTTTTTTTTTTTTTTCTGTTTTCTGTTTTATAATTATTCTAAAACAGTTTTTTATTTTTTAAATTCTTAATAATAATTTTTTTAGAAACCAAAGTCACTTACAAAAAAACAAGCATTAAATGTTACTTTAAACTTTTAACGTTTATTTATAACAAAACAACCACAATAATGTGTGTGTATATATATATATATGTGTGTGCACATGCACTCACATTCACACATGAGCTAATGACAGGAAATTATAACGTTGAACTTTATAAAAAAAAGAGGATTTTATTGCCGTCTCGATTTTTGTCACACGGGTCCTTCTATTTGCATGATATATATAACAAAGAATGTTTTAAACAGCTTTCATAGAGTTCAATAAAGTACCTTATAGGCCTTTGAAATGGTCAGCCACCATCTTGTTGAACACCAGACAATTGCCTTTGTAATTTTAGTGTCCATTGGTCAGGAAAATCTTAAAGTTAACTTGATGTTTGGAACGTACAACAGACGTACTAAACTTTCGTGTTGATGGAAAAAGAATAATTATAATGCCATTCGAACATGAGATTTGTATATATTTTTTTTTCTCGCAAAGCAGAAGTTATAAATGTTCAACAAAACAATTTTGGATCTAAAAAAAAAAAAAAAAAAATTATAGAAGAACAACTTTAAATTCACAAAGTTAAATAAAAAATTACAATATAATCTCATATATCATTGATGAATTAATTTATGAATATTTCTTGTCTTGTGCATATTTATAATAGAGAAAATCTATCACGACAAGAAAACTAATCTCAAAATTAAACTCTCTCTTAAAATTACAAAAAGAATAAAATAAGAAACTCAATTACTAAAGATTACAAAATACAAGAAGAATCGATAATCCCTTACGAGAACTTGCCATTGATACATTCATATATATATATATATATGACATAATATTATCTCAGCAAAAATTATTGATCATTTTTCTTTTTTAAAGCAATTATATAGTGAAAGTACTAAAGTAGCAAATCAATGAGCTTTCCTTAACATGTAGGGCACCTATGTTTAATCTACAATTATAATATCCCTGGACAAACACCAATCCCAATCTCATGTTACTTTTAGAACTCCCAATCCCACCCCTCCACACTTCTATAAAGGACCATCCCTTTTCCTCTAAACAACCCCATCCCCCACTCTCTCTCTCTCTCTCTCTCTCTCTCACACACACACACACACACACACATGCAGTCACATTCACACGTATGAACACATTTCATATGGAGAACATCTATGAGAACTTAATGCAGACTGATTGAGCTTGAATCATTTATAAACAAAAATTGACCTAGTTTTCAGCAGAGGTTTTTTGTCAAAATGGAGAAGCTAAATTTTGTTAAAGATGGAGTGATGACATTGCCGCCCGGATTTCGATTCCAGCCTACAGACAAGGAGATTGTCTTCCAGTACCTCACATGTAAAATATTTTCCTGCCCTCTGCCTGCTTCAATCATCCCCGAGATCAACGTCTGCAAATTCGATCCCTGGGATTTGCCTTCAGGTTTGTTCAAATTGTAGCTTAATATTCTAAATAGATTGTCACTTAACACTATGGTGGCATTAATGTAAATATAAATTAAACAGTTGTTCACTTCAATGTGCTTCCAATGATAGATTTACCTTAATGTATGGTTGATATATATATATATATATATGTGTGTAGGTGATTCAGAGCAGGACAAGTACTTCTTCAGCAAAAGGGAGGCTAAGTACCCGAATGGAACGCGAGCCAACAGAGCAACCTGTTCGGGTTATTGGAAGGCAACAGGGGTGGACAAAAGAATTGTGTGTTCAACAAGAAAACAGATAATGGGAATGAGGAAGACACTGGTGTTCCACAGAGGGAAGCCTCCAAGAGTGTCTCGGACGGATTGGATCATGCACGAATATCGCCTTGTCAATTCGCCAACTGAAGCTTGCAATGTTCAACAGTCTAAGAACTCACCTGATCAGGTAATAAACTTTTTAGTAACTAACCATTTAAAAATTCAAATTTGTTTGAATTAAATTTAGTTATTTTGATTTTATTTTTTTGCAGAAATCTCTGATTCAAATGGGTGATTGGGTTCTTTGCCGCGTATTTTTGAAGAAAAGAAGTATGATAAATGATAGTGAGATGAATCAGGATAGCATAAGTGACAGGAATGTTGAGGTGGCTTTGCTGCCTAATTTTTATAATTCCATGATGAGCTCATCTTCTTCTTCTTCTTCCTCTTTGTCTCCTGATTCCAGTGTCATCACTGAGGTCTCTTCAAGTGGATTTGATCATGAAGAAACTAGCAGCTAGAATTTTATTTTTATTTTTCATCTTTATCTTACTATTATAAAGCTAGTATACCCAAGAAAGCTTTTGTTGTTTCCTTTATGTTGTACAACCTTTTTTTTGGTATGGAATGAAACCTCCCAAGCAGATTCATAGTGACAAATTTCATCAGATGATCATCATATATATATATATGCACAGTCACTCCAATTTGGAAATTAGAAAATAGATATATTTGCAAGAGGTAAAGTGCAAAAAACCGTCATGTTATATTGGGAATGTGCAAATAATCTGTGTTGTTCAAAAAGCTTAGTTCATTTTTTCAAATTGAGCAAAGAATGACATTTTGTCAATCTGAACAATACACTTGAGACAATTTCAGGTTTAAGGGTATTTTGGAATTTTTATATAAAAAATTGGTTAAAATTGATAATCAACTGATATTAAGGTGCAATTTGTACATATGTTCAAATGTTAGGGATTTAATTATATAAACATACTAAATAGTAAGGGTATTTTTTTTTTTCATATACTTTATATAGTAGGGTTTTTTTTTACCTTTCACTTTACCCTATTAAAAGGCAAAGACATTACTCAATTATAACGAGGGTAAAGTGCAAAAAGTCCCCTAAAATATATCCGAATTTGCAAGTAACCCCCTTAAACTATATTTTGTGCATAATACCCCATGAATTATCACATTCTGTTGCAAAATGCCTCAATGTCTAGACTATTTTCATTAAATGACCATAATACCTTTTCTTTTTGAAGTACACTTAATTTATTTTTCTTATTGAAATAAATTATGAAAAAATCTCATACTATATTGATGACATATTCTCTATTAAATTTGTATAAATTTACCTTTAAATTTTATATTAATTGTTTAAATAAAAATCTTAAGTAGAAAATATTAAAACTATTTAAGTAATTCTTTTTCTTGAATATATTGCATGAAAATGAATATATTTTTATTTAAGTAATTTATTAAAATTTCATGAATATATTGTATGAAAAAAGGTATTTTTTATGGTGAAAAAAAAAAAATTTAACAGAGTATAATAAGTTTTATTATAAATAGTACAATTTAATTATACGTTAATCAGATTAGAAAATATAATTACAAGTCAATTTTTTATGATAAATTGATACTAATAATAAAATTAAGGTAAATGGTATAATTAATATTTAGATAAAAGAAAAGATAATAAATATAATTTAATAAGAAATGACAAATTTAATGAGAAATGATAAAATAGTCTTTTGTGATAAGTTTATCCTTAATTGCAACAAATTAATAGTTCAATGGGGTAATGTTTTAGTTCGGGGAATTATTTGCAAAAGGAAAATAGTTTAGAGGGTTTTTTTTACACTTTAAACACGAGAACACGCATTAATTTATAAGAATAATCACTTTATGTAAAATAATGCAAACTGAATGATGACTGTGTATGACGTATAGAAACCATCATTAAAGATCAACGGATGTGAGATTAATTTGGTTGCTTGCATGCCAAGATGCTCAAAACCTTACAAATTGGTGCTAATTGGTTTACAATCAAATACTCTTTTTAAGTGCGAATCAAAACAAGTTGCTTTACAATCGAGTTGACTTGAACATAGACTTATTGATTCCATTCCAAGAATGTTTTGTTTTTGTTATCAAAAGGCACTGGATCTTTGAAAGAGAATGATGGGAGAGAATGTAAGCAAACCTATTAAGCAAAGGATATACTTTGTATAAAGAACGCCTCTTTGGGGAGAGGAGAACATCAGAGAGAGAGAGAGAATATGTGCTGCACATGGTCGCATGGCTTCTCTTAAATTCTTTTGATGTTTAAAAAGTGAAATTCCTCAACAAAATCCACAGCCGCAAAGTCTTTTTTGCTTCATCATGCGCCTGATCAATTCCAGCCGCGCGTATTACAAAAAGTTTCTCTCTCTCTCTCTCTCTCACACACACAGTAATACCTGCAAATGTAACAAAAGGAAAAGGTAGCCACTCCATTCCCAATCTCCCACTCAAAGTTCTTCCTAGTAGTATGGGTAGAAGTGAAAGTTTACTTGGTATCTAAGACTACATGTAATCTCTCAAGTAAAGCTAATCCTAAACAAATGTTTGTGATATAATCAGTCACAAAATTATCATAGAAGTGATTAAAAAATATCATATAGGTATAGTGGTATACTGATGGAGTAAGAAGATTATTTGAGAAGAGTGGCGCTAAACATATAAAATAAAGAAATTTCAATCACCATAACAGACAAAATAATAAATAATTTTTTAAATAATTTTATCGAGTATATTTATAATTATTGGAGAACAATAAACTAACCATTACAATATTCAAAAGAGAGAGGGGTTTATGAACTACAATGGCGGGAGGTAGAGGCGCAGAGAGTCCCAAACCGAGAGAACAAGGGTCGTAGAGTGTAAAGACCGAAGCTTCAGCGGGGCTTTTGGTAAATATTTTGTGGCGGCATTATGACATTTTAACACAATGATAAGCATAAATCACACAGACCCAATATAGGACCAGCGGGGAAGGATGCCCCACTGAATTTTTTAGATTTTTATTTTACACCACAAATATTTTTTTGAATTTATGAAAAATGTCACCGCTTAAATTACAACTCGCCCAGTTGGACTTCTTTTTTTTTCTTTTTTTTTTTGCACTTCAAATTTTAAAAAATTTATAAAGATGCATCCACTAAAATTACAATTCACCCCACTAAATTTTCTTTTTTGCATTATACACTTTTTAAATTTTTTAAATTTATGAAGAAAACTCCATTGAAATTACATAAATGGACCTACTATATAAATTTGCCCCCACAAATTAAAGGGCTGCCTCCCTCACAAAATTTTCTGAGTCCGTCATTGTAAGCATGTTATCCTTATTTGGGATTTGTGGAGTTGAATTTATGTAACAAACAGCCTCATCTATAATATATATATTTGATATTTAAACTCTAGCTAATCTAATCTTCTATTGGTTATGATATTGAATCATGTATCAATCAACAACTATATTAGAGTCCCTTTGGAATTACTTCTCTGTTGCTTAAAAACACTTTGTTTTGAGAATGTGTTTAAATGTGTTTGGTAACTATCAAGAGCATCTCCAACTGTTGCGTATATTTTTTTTTTGTGTAAATCTGATGTGTCATGATGAATTTACACAAAAATTTAAGATTATTTAATTTTAGCTCTAACGGTTATTTTAAACCTTTTGTGTAAAAATATATCTGCCAATGACAATCAATCATGTGTCATGCCAGGACCCCACATAACTTTTACAAACTTACTTAATATATGGTTGATTCTAACGAGAAAGAGGGATGAGAAAGGAAATATGTTGATCTGGCAGTGTATTTTAATATACTATTGGAGATGGAAAAAACTTACACATCATAAACTTACATATCATAGGTGGCAGTGTATATTTTACACAAAATATTATTTTAATAGATTGCTGGAAATGCTCTAAGAACACATATCCTATTAAAGGATATTATTATAAAATTAGCAATAAAAATGTTTAAAAAAATATTGTTACCAAATAAATTTAACAAATAATTTAATTGTAAAAAATATATATTATAATATGTCACCACACACCTGAAATACTTTTTACCGAGCATAATTTTTTTTAATTGTGAAAAATATTTATTATAATATGTCACTAAACCCCTGAGATAACTTTTTACCGACCACAATTTTTCTACGGGCGTTATTTTTATTCGAACAGCAATCCTCTTAATAGGCTCCCTCAATCGTAGCGTGAGATAACAAGTAGACACCAAAGGTTTTGTGAAAATATCAGCTTTTTGATCCTTCCTTCGTAGAGATGAATCGAACCAGTAAGGTTTTGCAAGAAACTTTGTCACGCACGAAATGGAAGTCAATTTCAATATGTTCGGTGTGCGCATGAAAACATGGGGTTCGCTGTGAGGTAGGTAGCTCCAAGATTATCACACCATAAAGTAGGTGGTGCGGACAGAAAAATTCCCAGCTCTTTAAGTAAAGACTGAATCCATTGGAGCTCGGCAATGGTGTTAGCAAGAGATCGATATTCAGCCTCGGTGCTAGACCGTGACACAGTGGCTTGTTTCCGAGAGCTCTACGAGAGATAAGATTGGAGCTAAGAAAAATGCAATATCTTCAGCCCAATTGGCATCGGAGTAAGCATAAATGTCGTTGGAAGATTGTCACCGAATGAATAAACCATGAAATAATATATGTTTCAAGAAGTGATCAAATAATTCGAATCGTAGTGTGTTTTACAAGAAGACTAAATGTATCACTATAATCAATACCGGGTTGTTGATGGAAGCCTTTAACAACCAACCGTGCCTTGTAACGATCAATATTCCCATCAGGTTTTCGCTTAATGCGAAAAATCCATTTACAACCAACTAAATTCATGGTGGGGTGTCCTGGAACTAAGGTCCAAGTACCATTCTGCAATAAGGCATTGAACTCATTGTTCATTGCCTCTCTCCATTTGATAGATTTTGAAGCTGCAGTGTTTAAACTTTAAAGTGGGTTCATCATCAGTTGTGGCTGTGGAGGTAAGTAATGCACGAGGTAGAGGATATTGGACTGTCCCGTCTATAAACCTTTTGGGCTGACTAATTCTGCTATTGGATCTAGTCTCCATGTGATGTCCTGTAAGAGGCAGAGGAACATATGCAAGAGATGAGTCTGTGATATGAGTCGTCTCCGTAGTAGACAATTGAACAGTGTTCATGTTTGTGAGTGGGCTAATGTCTTCGTGATATTAATATTTCTAACGTGATAACATCAGTCTTTATTTATATAAAATTAGTTAAATTTGTTTAACTCTCAGACTTCTTATCATTTCTCTTAAGGATAACAAAATATACCCAAACCCAAAAATTCCGCCAAATTAATTATTGGGTGATTAGTTTAATTACTTGAATGGGTGACTAATGGGTCAATTAATAGTATATTTAGTGAGTTGGTGGTGGGTACTCACTCCTAACCCACCCACACATTATACTTTCCAAAAATCAAACTGCTGTTTCGTTTTTTTATCTCCTATTTTTCTCCCCCCTTATTTTCTCTATCGTCTTTTTTTCTCTCTCCTCGTTTCTCTCTCTCTCTCTCTCCTTTCATCTCTATCCTCTCGTAATAATAAAAATAATTACTGTAGACATCAAAAAATAAACAATCATTATGAGAATAATTTTGTGAGTAGATTAAAATATAAATTTATATATAAAAAAATTATATATAAACATAATTTGTGAGCAGACTGAGTACTAGAGGGGGAAAATGAAAAAAATAAAATAATTTATTTTGTGAACGGGCAAACGGATTATATGCAGGCTGATCAACCCATTTATGATCCCTATTTGGTGCGTTCATAATGGGTTACTAATTCATTTATGACTAGTTCATTTATTCAAAACTCATCCAAATTCACTCAATTACCACCCTTATTAAATACAATGTAATAATTACATGTGTATCCATATACTTGCATAACATATTTTAATTGGCTGGTGATGGTCCAGCAAAATAACATGGTATCTGTTTGTTCGTTTGGTGTGTTTGGGAGCAAGTGGAGATCAGACTCGATATGAACAATTAACCAAACTATCCATAGACCAACACGATTAGTGTCTAAATCCTGTTAGACAATCACTAATCTCCACTTGATTGTGTACTAGAAGCATTTTTTATTCAATCAAGAATCAGTCTTTTTTCTGCAGAAGCCATACTGTGAGTGACAAATAAACCTCCTACTACACAAACTACAACCAATTAATTTCCTATGCACAACAAATAAACTTACTACACACCATATTTTGCTGAATCGATCGATACGCGACCTTTTTTTAGGGGTTCTATATCGATCGATTCGATTAATTTACATTAATTTTGTTCGAGTCCGTTACACTATGATCGCGATTGATACTGCGAACCATGCTACACACACCACCACTGATCAATTTCCAATTTCATACACATAGCATTTCCATTTGAGTAATTCTACAATGATCCATTGTAGGAAAATTAATTTAGTAGCTCATTTATTGAGTATATGGAGTTGAAGGAAAAGGGTGCTAAAATATTTAGTGATAATCATGTGTATCAGTAAATATTTACTCATTTATTGGTTCATAGATTGTAATCATGTGTAATTTTTCTCTATTAATGAAATTTTCATTCTTGCCTTGAAAAAAATTAAATAAAAACCAATGTGACTTTTATCATCCTCTTTTTCATTTATATACCAATGTTGGCAACAAAAGTTGAGGTGTGTATTATGGCATATTCCGAATTCAAAAAATGTATCATGTTACCATCTCAATAGAAATTGAGCTATGCTGAAAAGATATTGAGTGAGTCGAACACCATATTCATCAATATTTTCACCCAATCAAAATATTTCGATTATACAATAAAATGTATCCCGCCTATAATAATAATAATAATAATAATAAAAACTTCCCTCCACTAACTAGAATGATATATTTCTACATGGATACATATCAAATTGTATATTTAAAGCTTTGACAAATCCACAATATCAGGAGCGCCTAAATTTAGAAAGAGGAAGCTTATAGGCACCCTCTCAACTTTGGACCGACCATGAAAACTCATCTATATATATATATCCGTCTCTTATTGTGTTCAATCCTGACAGCAGTCATTCTAGATACTATGGATTAAAATAAAATAAAAATAAATAAATAAATATCTAAATGAGCCAAACATACCCTCAAAATTCTTATCCTTTGCCTAATTATAATGCCTATGAAACCAAAAAATTTCATGCAATACTAACTGTCCGAGCTTACCGTTCAACCCCTCAATATTTAATTGCTAATCTCAACAAGCACTCTCTCTCCTCCTATCTCATTTTCCTTCTTTGCCTCTCTCCCTCTCTCACTGTCCCTTCCCCCTCTCTCCGCAACACATTTTGACCTCTCCAATGGGTTGCGGAGCGTCGAGGCTTGGGGCAGAAGGCCAAGCCATACCGGCCAGATTCAGACCCCTCCTTCGCGGTCGGATAGACAACATTAGAAGGCGCAGGAACGCCGCGGCCCTAACCAACGACGAAGACCATTGTTCCAAGAAAGAGTTGCTTATGCATGGTAGAGAAGAGGATGACAACTCTCAATCTCTTGAACCAAGTGTCAGAAAAAGCGCGGCTTCGCGCGAAGAAACAACCACCATTGATGAGTCTCGGAAGAGAGAACCGGAGAAAATTATAAAAGAGGATACTGTAAAAGAGGAAACCAAGAAAGAGGTTTCCAAGGAGACAACAAAAGATGATGGTTTGAGCAAGGAGGGGAGCGCGAATACCGCGAAGAATGGAGAGGACAAACTGGTGGAAAATGCAGAGAAGAAAGAGGTTGAGACGGAGGAGAAAGAGGAGGTTAGGCATGGTGTGGAGGTGGAAGGAGAAGAGGAAGAAGATGAAGGGTATTACAGCTATGAGGAGGGTGAACAAATTGGTTACGGCTCGCCGAGTTTCAGAGTGTACTTCACAGATAATTTGGAGAATGACAAGGATGATGGTGAGCGTTCTACAAGTTAAACAACATAATATCCTCTGCTTGGTTCAATTTTTAATATATATATATATATATACACACACACACACACACGTGTTCAGTATCATTAAAAAACTGTTTTTAGAGAGTTATAAAATATGATCCATATTCATAAAATAAATTTTGAAAAACTGACAATGAGATATGTTGTTTATCCTATACTTTAGACATGCCAAGAAGATGATTTAACCCCCTTTTCTCTCTCTCTCTATATCTCTTTCTAATTGAACAGATTTAGATTTCTCCAATGCAAGTAAGGATGCTAGCTCAAACAATAGGTCTCAAAACGATGATGAGGCATCACAAAAGGTACATACCATGGGTTCCATACTCGGTCTCTGTCCTGGACGGCACCATGTTGTATTACAGCTGATGGTCATACATGTGATTGTGCTGCACTCGTGACCGTCCGTTCTAGTACCACACAGGATCAACTCACATATTTCAATCTCAACGCTTATAATCAAAACGATAGTTTTTTTTACTACTACTCATCATATTTAGAACTTATTCTTGGCATAGCAATAATGCAATATTCAAACAAGAATGAACATTCTTTTAATAATATGTTTCACAAACGTAATCACAAGTTGGCTTAGAGAAAGAGAAATGCATATAACCTTTGATTAAATGTGATGCAAGTGTATAAATGTATAATATAACTATCGTGATTTAATTTTTTTCAACCTTCTAATATGTGAAATGAACCTATTATTATCAACATTATTCTTGTTTTTATCCCATATAATGGTTTCATCCGAAATGAACCGATTCTATATTATATTTTTTAGAACTCAAACGGACCAAAATGTAGGATTTTGAAATGTATTGTATTAAAGATTTGATCAAATCCACCAGAAGTCTAACGTATACATGCGCACGTGCAATAATATATGAAAATTTTAAGAGCATGTTTGGTTCAATTTTCTGAGAATAATTTTTTATCTTTTGAGAACTAAAAATAAAAAAAATAAAAAATGTAACAGAGTCTATTTGTTTCATAGTTCTCGAAATCTAAAATAACAAACCTTATCAATAGCTAAGTGCCTTGATTATCATGCAGGCTACTCATATTTGTGACATCCAAACAAAGAAAGATATCCTGAAATCCACGTAAAAATATGATTAAAAAACATTTCAATTGATTAAGTTATCCATCTCTGATCTTCATTCTCTCCTCTTTTTTCTTTTCCTTTCCCTCCATAATAACAGGAGTGTTTGACCGATAGTGGGAAGAAAGGAAGTACTAAAAGAAGGAATTTCAAAAAGGTCATACCAGGAAGAGGGCAAGTGAAGAAACTATGGAACGTTCGGTCGTGCTACACTAAACCTTCTCGAACAGGATGAGGACAAAGGAAGACATTCTTCTCCAATTCTTTTCCTCCTTTGTTTTGTATTTTGTTTTTCTGGTTTTTCTTTGGACAATTATGTCTCCAGTTCTTTGCAAGAAAAGAGAGTTGTCAGTGCATAAGCTTTACCATATAGCTAGTCTAATTCTCATGTAACAGGTTTCAGTTACCATATATATGCAAGGATTTAGGAGACAATTATGTAGAAGATTTCTTCCCTTCTGTATTTTTGGATTTCCCCTTTCTCCTTTTCCTTTTCAGATTTAATTTCACTTCTACTATAGCTACTTATAATGCAAATAATACAAAAGGTGATGGTGTCGGGCCTCTCGCAGCACCCCATAATCCACCACTAGACACATGCAGTTCCCCAATCCCACATGCACCGGTAAATATTTACCCTGAAAAAATTCCTAGGGGTCTAATGTTCCTCTTGACAAGCCACAAGCTAGGGTCAAAGAGTGACTTCATGCATCCACTCTATACACAGAGACTTGGGAACATTTAAGGACCTTTCTCACCTGGGTAGAGGGTATCCACCATCCACCTCCTGAATTAAGGGCTAGAATCAACTTATTCCAACAGCTTAAACACAAAATCAATGACATTTTTACTTTTTTAAGGAACCTTGATTCTAAATCATGTATATTTATAAATATCTTAGACATGCATGCATTGTAATAAAACAGTCTTATTCTAATTAAATTAATCAACTAAACATTAAATATGTCACATTCGGCATGCTATGCAATTGTCATGCTCTCTTGCTTGTTACCTGATTAGACCAGTTCCGTTTAGACTGGTTCTCAACGTGCAGATTTGCATCCCTGTCCTCGATGTCATTGGACTCGGCTTCTAAACAATCATTGGCCTTTAGAACGCTACTCGATTATCCTCCTCTTGGTGATCTAAGGACACTTCCAATTAAGCCTATAACACCTTTTATTCAAGACATGCAGTTCCTTGACTTGTACTAACCTTTAGTTCCACAATATGTTTATCCTTTTCTGGGCGGTTTCTAGACCTTATTGTTACTCACATAAAAATTCAACTTCCTGCACATTAACTCCTTCTCCCCCTTAGTCTGAACATAGTGCCTTTCTCAAACATGACGACCTTGTGGCGTTGCTCAACATCCATGCACAACTTTGGCCTTCTCTCACTTCAAAGTGCAAACCCTAAAGAACTTGCCCAAAAGACAACATTCCTCCTTTAGCAGATTATCCAAATAATCTCCTATGCATATCGTCCCCAGATCACCTCCCATGCCTCCCAGTGGTCACGCCCTAGCTAGTCGAAGCAACAGATCCACATTGCTACCATGCTCCCCTCAAAGCATAAACTTGGCTCTGTCTACGCCCCTAACGATGCAAACAAGTAGTGGTACCTACAGTCATGGACCTAGAATTTCACCCTCTAGCCACACCTGCGAACCATCTAGAATTGTTCCCTTCTGACGGGACCTAGGCAAGCCATTCCATCCACACTCGTCCCATTGTCGCCAACGCTTGTGGCTATATTGCCTCCCACTGGTGTATTAGCGGACTTCTCATTGTCATCCAGCAATGTCAAGAGCTGATTTAAGCAAATATATAAATTCACCTTCTGTTCGCCTCACGGGAAAGCGCTGCTTCCGCTCTCCAGATTGCATGGAATGGTGGATGGCGGAATAGAATAGTGTAGGGTGTGCAGGCGTGCTAGGAACTGCAATAGTTCCAAAGAAGAAATCCGAACAGTTATTCAGTTGGAAATTTGTAGGGATCAGGCGATTGTACGAAAGTCTGGAACGACCACCTTCGAAGGGTCTTTTTTGCCTTTGAACAAAGACTTCAAACTATTCTGTAGCTAATGGAAATGAAAACGATATTGAAGGTGCAAAGCTAGAAATTAAAGTTATTTAAAGTGCAGGACTGGAAATTTAGAAATATGGAAATGCAGTGCTAGGCTGGAAGTAACAAAGATGTGCTGGAACTAACTCAAGCGTTATGAGAATTCATCGCATGGAATGAATGCTATATAAGATAGCAAAGTGCTGGACTTAACTTAAAATGATGCACATTCATTGCTGGAATGGAAATACATGTACTAGCAAAGTGCTAGGTTTAGACATAGTGCAAACTCATTGTTGAAATGAGAGATACATGAAAGCAAAGATGTTTGTGTTAATGTGTTGTTTGGGCTGAGCAGGCAGGGTTTGTAAACTAGCCATGAGTGCTCTATTTATAGAGCTCCTTGCATGCAGCAGCTTGATGTGTAACGACTCAAAACTAATACTTTTTAAACAAAAAAAATTCGGCATAACCTCCCCTAAAAATGGACCTACCGCAACCTGTTTAAATGCATAATTAACTTGTCATGCAACTAATTTCCGAATTCACGGCAACAAAAGATAATAATACAACCTACTAATCTAGACAATGCTTCAAGCTATGATTATCCTTCCATTCATCAACAAGTTACATATCATCAAGTTCGCATCCCATATGTCATCAAGTATCATAAGTGTACTACATGATCATGGTTCTTCAAAAGAAATTTACATCATTACACATTTGAAATTTTACAAAAAATGAGGGATGAACAAAGGAGTAGTCTATTACAAAATAACAAGGAAAATGCTCCTCTAGCAACTTTCAAAGTTGGGGTAGATTGTCGTCCACTGGTTCTTTTCCAAGACCTGAAAAAAAATATAGAGATATAGGGGTGAGCATATAGCTCAGCAGAGACACTTAAGACATAAATCTTGTGTCCTTGTGAATTCAAGCAAAGCATAGGCTAATGGGAGATAGGGATCATATAACGTAGGGGATCAAATACAACATATAATTTAATTCCAATTATAAACAATGCAATGTAATGCATGTCAATGACACTCCCCATTTTCATTCTCAAAACCATCACTTTCAAACGTTAATACAGCCCGCCCTTTGGTAACCCCGCCGCGACACGAGAGGAGGATTGGCTAGTGTCCCTGACCCTTGGTAACCCCGCGGCGTCATTATGGGCCCCAGCTAGCTTAACCACACTAGGGCGACTCCCTAGTCCCCTCTAGGCTATATTAACCTCCGGCCTGTTGGTAACCCCGCAGCGACCGGGTTTCACATAAAATCATTTCATCAAAAACATTTTCCCGAAATTTCCCCTTTTTGAAGTAAATCAATTCTTTCCCTTTTCCTGTCCAATGTTAATGCATGAATACCTCAATGACATACACAAGTTCATCATTCCATACTTTATCCAATTTAAGCAATATGGCATAATTCGCAAGAATAATCAAGAAAGTCATAACATGCTTATACATGACAAGTTCTAGCACAATGAACATATATAATCAAGTCCTAAACATGCTTCACATAGAACAATCAACAAATATAGTCACACAACTAACATATCTGCATACATATCAACAATTCTCTAGATTTTAAACAACTAATCAAATTAAACAACAATTAGAGGCAATTAACTCACTAAGGTACAAGATTTCATGAGTTAAGGGCCCCTACCTCAAGATTGCACCAAAACCCTAGAAAATGGGTCCTCAAATTCGAGCTCCAAGGAAGACTCAAAACTGGAAATTGATGGTATGGATGTATAGAGCTTGACACGAGTTTCGTTTTGCCTCAAACGAAACCTAATTCCAACAAGAAATGAGTGAGAAATCTAACCTCAAAGTTGAAACCAAAAAAAATAAAAGAAAAATGAGCTTACGGGTTGAGAGAGAGATGCACGAAGAGAGAGAAAGGGAATCAGGAAAATGAGACCAACTTTATGGTCTTGACCCTTTTCTAAAGTGCCTTGTGGGCCCCACCATTAAATTATTTTTCTTTTACTTTTATAATACACTATACACACACAATAAATACACAGACATCACATTCTCCCCAACTTATAGGGATTTCGTCCCCAAAATCAAGACATACCTGAGGAAGAAAACAACGCTGGGTACTTGGACCGAACCTCCTGTTCGAACTCCCAAGTAGCTTCCTCGACTCCGTGGTGTTTCCAAAGGACTTTCACCATTGGTATCGTCTTGTTCCTCATCACCTTCTGTTGTGTGTCAAGAATCTGAACTGGTCCTTCCTCGTAGGAAACATCCTCATCAATGTCCACATCTACCCAACTCAAAATGTGAGATGGATCCGGTTCGTACTTCCGTAACATCGATACATGGAAAACATTGTTAACCCTATCCAACTGTGGTGGCAAAGCAAGCCTGTAGACAACCTCTCCTACTCGGTCCAAAATCTCGAATGGTCCAATAAATCGTGGCGATAACTTGCCACTCTTCCCAAATCTCATCAACCCCTTCCGTGGAGAAACCCGTAGAAAAACGTGGTCTCCCACCTCAAAGGATAATGGTCGTCTCCGCTTATCCGCATAGCTCTTCTGTCAGCTCTGAGCTGTAAGTAACCTCTGTCTTATCAACTTAATCTTCTCAGTAGTCTCGAGTACAATGTCGGGTCCTAAGGCGGCTGTCTCACCTACCTCAGTCCAACAAACAGGAGACCTACAAGGTCTACCATACAACGCCTCAAATGGAGCCATCTGGATACTCGCTTGATAACTGTTGTTGTAGGCAAACTCAATAAGTGGAAAGTGATCCTCCCAACTACCTCCCAAATTAAGTACACATACACGAAGCATATCCTCCAAAATCTGGATAGTACGCTCTGACTGACCGTCTGTCTGTGGATGATATGCCGTACTAAGATGCAACGCTGAACCAAACGCTGCTTGTAGTCCTTCCCAGAACTTCGAAGTGAACTTAATATCCCTATCTGACACAATGGTTACAGGAACTCCATGCAACTTTACAATCTCCTTCACATAAAGAACACCAAGCTTCTCTGCATCATCTGTTGCCTTAATAGGCAAAAAGTGAGCCGTCTTGGTCAATCTGTCAATGATGACCAATACGGCCTCATTGCCCCTTCTTGACCTTAGAAAACCTGTCACAAAATCCATAGCAATATGCTCTCATTTCTATTGCGCTACAGGTAATGGTTGCAACAAACCAGCTGGCCTCTGATGCTTGGCCTTCACCTGCTGACAGATAAGGCATCTAGCCACAAACTGTGCAACATCTTTCTTCATCCCGTTCCACCAATACTGACGTCTTAAATTGTGATACATCTTGGTACCACCTGGATGAACTGCAAAGC